AGAAACAAACAAACAAAACTTTTTTGATGGGTTTAAAATAATTATAGTTATCCTGTCCTCTGACATTTAAAATTGTTGTTTAAGAGAAGAGGGAGGTTAATAAAAGAATATTAAATTGGGAGAGAAAAAAAATTCTTATACGAGTGATTCTTGATTTCAAAACCATTTTACTTTTATTAATTTCCAAGTTGTAATGGAGTTACATTAAAAAGTTATTGTGTTTGTGTGTGTGTCTGTATATAGTAATAATAATAATAAATATGCAATTGCAAAATGAGAAGTTAATAACATCGTGTGTAAGTGGGTGAAAGTTGTCGGCAACCGCAAAACGATGAAGTGAAAATAAAGAGAATAAGTAAATTAAAAGGGTTTATGTTCACCTTTCATATCTTATACAATATTTTGCTGTTATTAGTATTCTGAACTATTTAGGCTTATCTGTGTCTGGATTGTTTATTCTTTATTTGATTTTATTACTGGGCAACCACCTTCCTATTTTTGGCTGCAGCCATTAAATGTATGGTTCGGTTCGGGACATTATGGGTTCAAGCACCTGAACCAAGCCCTCTGATAACTTCAAATGTGTTCATTTGTTTTAGCACAGTAGATTCTCACCCGTTGTTGTATAACTGAAGAGACGAACTGTATTCAATGCTACTTGGAAGTTAATGTACAGTTATACACCACTAGTGACTATATAGGTTTTTGATATTTTTTGTGCCATGTCTTGTTTTCATATATATTTATCTGCATTTATATATATTGTTCTTTTGTATTTAATTTAGTGGCTGGTGAATTATTTTGGCTCGCTGTCTGTAGAAGACTCTCTTGAATGTCTGAAGGCCATGCTTACTCATAACATTCGACAGAACCTGCAAATTTCCGTACAGGTGGCGACAAAATACCACGAGCAGCTGTCCACCACTGCCCTCATTGATCTTTTTGAATCGTTCAAGAGCTATGAAGGTTTCTAGTTATAATCTTTGTAATTTTTTTTTACTATTTCTTACATGTAGGCATTCATTTTTGTCATCAGTATAACTGGACAATTAGTGAAATTTTCTGATTGATTAATCATTGGACTCATTAATCGATTACTTTTAACTAATTGATCATTCTTATAGATATGGCTAAAGAAACAAACAAACAAACATTGCTTATTCACACATAAGCTAGATAGCTAAATATAAAAAAAACCTTATAATGCTAAAAACTGTATTTCAATACCCAAGTTAGGCAGAGCACAGACAGCTTAATAGATTTCCAGCTTTCTCTACTTGTGTCTCAACAACTGTTGTTTTGACAAACACTTGTCTGGCTTTACAAGTGGTACTTACTTCTTAATATTAAATGCTTTTCCAGTCTTTAAGTTTGTAAAAGTTAGATATAGTCATTGATTAAAGAGCTTAATCCTAGGGTGTAGTAGATAACAACAACATGATGTAGTTGTTTGTATGTTTTGACAGTTGGGAGTTGATTAATCAGTTTTTTGGTGTTCTTTGTTATTATGTGAGTACAGAAATCCATAATTGGATGTTTACGCTTTGTAAAATCTGGTCCCCCTAATTATGGTTTTATTTAAAACTGTTGTTTGTGTTACTTCTCATTCTCCTCCTCCCCCTCAATTATGTAGCAAATATTTTGTCAACTACAAAGTTCCAGATGGTACATGTAAGCATATTTTGTTGTATTTGATTGTAGATAATAAATCCGTGTTGTAGTTGTTGTTTTTTTTACTTATACTATTGCTTCACTAATCCCGTTATCTCGGTTATAAAACTTTCCCCATAAAGTGAATGCTTCATGTTACGGTATTTGTTGCCGAAACTGTAGCTGGAAACCTAACGTATGAAATATTAGATTTGAACAACACTACTACATTAAAACAAGTGTTCAAGATACTTTCAGGCCTTTTGATACTTAACATGAATAACACCAAAACTCTTAATTCTTGTACTTCAAAATCAGTTCAGATTTTTTTCCATCAGGATAGTCAGTTGCGATTCATAGTAAGCAAAATGAGAGAGTGCTTGTTTTGATTTATGTTATAAATATTGTGATACAAAGAACACATTAATCGTCAATTTACCAATGTGTTTCTATACTCTTCAACACCAGGGGAGCTCGCATATTGTGTAGTTTTATATTTTTGCTTATTACGGTACTCTGTGTAACAAAATGGCCAAAAAAGTAGGATGAAAACACTGTTTTTTAGTGTAAACTACAGAGGGGATTCCGACTGTAATTATTGGGGTTTATGGCTGTTTTAATGGTACTTTTTTATGTGACTTTTATGATACTAATCACAAAGACTTAGGTTTGATTTTGTGCATAATTTGTTTACAAAAATGTGTTTTAAAAGGTTAAGCTAATATTTAACCAGCATGTTGCTATGGCCCAACTGTTGAGTGCTATTAGCCCTTCAACAATCCATCCAGTAATCAGTCATTCTATCTGGTCTGTTAATCAGCACCGCTTTGCCACTTTCGTTTTAAGTTGTTTTAGTATCTTTACATGAACTGCTACTGATTAGCCTTAACATTAGTGTTTCTTTAGTTCTTGGTTGTGTTTCATTGTTTAAAGTTGCATGTTGCATCTCTTTAAAATGTAATATCTTGTTAATATATATAGGTCTCTTCTACTTCCTTGGATCCATCGTAAACTTCAGTCAAGATCCGGAAGTCCACTTTAAATATATTCAGGTGAGTATATTCAAGTAAGTCGCCAATGACTGACATTACTGCATCTCCCCACCCCCCACCCACACAATTTTTTCTTAACCTTTTCAAAAATATGTGAACAAAACATGGGACACAGTTCAGTTTCTTTGTGGAAGTTTCACACATTACTTAACCAGGTCTCAAGTTTCATTAACATAATTTTAGAAGAGCTTAAGAAAATGTGTGCATGGGGTGGGGGGTGATAATGACACCATGGAAATGTCATAACATGTAGTGTACTTAACCAGGTCTAAAGTTTCATTCACAAATAAAAAGGTGTGGGGGGTGGAAATGGCAGTGTGATGATAATTTATGGTAAGCAAATAAGCATGCTTGTAAAATAAAGCTTTATTGTAACATAGTGTGTGTGTATAGATATACATACATTCTTGCATACAAGATCACCAGAATCTTTGGGATCTTTAACCTTTGAACTCTACACACTACTACTTGTTGAAGTTATGTATTTTGAAATATTCCAGGCTGCATGTAAGACTGGACAGATTAAAGAGGTGGAAAGAATTTGTAGAGAAAGTAACTGTTACAATCCTGATCGTGTGAAGAACTTCTTAAAGGAAGCCAAGCTTACCGACCAACTGCCACTCATCATTGTCTGTGACCGTTTTGACTTTGTCCACGATCTTGTGTTATACCTGTATCGCAACAACCTCCAGAAGTACATTGAAATTTATGTTGCAAAGGTACTTTGTAGTTTATCATTTTAGTACCACTTTGAGTCAAATCTGTATAGTATTTTTATGGCTTTATATAATGTTTCAAGTTTGTGAGAACTAATAATTATTGAGTTTTTTTGTTATTCTTCTTACGCAAAACAAATTTTCTTGCAATTTTGTAAAGAATTAAAAAAAGGTGGCAAAGTGTAAAGAGAAAAAAATTTAGAGATCAAAATTTTATATACAGATGCTTCACAAGTAGCTTAACATATATATATAATTTTGTTTGTATCTGTGGTAACTTATTGATAATATGACCAAACAATAATAGGGTTACCAGATGTCTCAGTGAAACTCGTTCCATTTTTTAGCTTTATTTTTTCTGTCTCAATGAGATGCAGAAAAAATATTTTTCGCTCTCGATATCTGGTAACCCTAAACATGAACTAACTTTTGTAATGTTAAAAAACACAAAATACTGAAAAAGTTATAATATTTTCATGTGATACCATTCAGAACTTCAAAGTTAGACATTTTGATTCTGGAAAATCCATTTAAAATTTTTTTACATTTGTAGAACATGATTGTAAGACCTTGATGTTCTCAGTTCAGTGTTCTGAAAGTTTAGGTTACTGAGTGAAGGTCAATGTCACTAGAATTTGAAATATATAATTTTTACTTTTGTGAAGATTGTTCTCTGGCTCTAGTTTTAAAACATTCAAAGTAATTTGAGGCTAGTGCTCTTTTCAAGTAAGAATTTAAAAAAACGACAACATTTATCTTATTAATTTGATTTATCTGTAGGATTGGGGGTATTATTACTTATTACATAAATATAATTTTTTTAAAATCTCTGGTTTGATAACATTATGCTTCCACTGATATTTTTTTATATCTAATTAATGAGATTGAGTTATGTTGACTTTACTAGGTCAACCCATCCAGACTCCCTGTAGTAGTGGGAGGATTGTTAGATGTTGACTGTTCAGAAGATGTCATTAAGTCGCTCATCATGAATGTGAAGGGTCAGTTCTCCACCGATGAACTGGTAGAAGAAGTAGAGAAACGGAATCGACTCAAGCTGTTGTTGCCTTGGCTGGAAATGAGAATACACGAGGGTATCATTGAATCTGCAACTCATAATGCCATGGCTAAAATTTATATTGACTCGAACAACAATCCTGAAAGATTCCTAAAGTGAGTCAGAAATTTCATGATAATTAACCTATCACACTGGACTTGCACTAATAGTGACCAAGTTGACAAAATTATACTAACTACCTAATATTAGAATTTAATAAATTAGGTCCAAATGCTTGCAAAGGTTCTCTAGTTTTATATAATTATAAACCGAGGAGTATAGTAACATTTTAAATCTCTCTGAACCAGTTTAAATTTTTTTTACAGAAAGGCTTGTCTCTGAAAAAATTTTCTTCAGATTATACAAAAAAATATAACTTACTAAATTTTAAAATTAAGAGTTGTGTGCTGTACTGATGCTTTCTTCTTTCGTTTTAAATTCCGTAGAGAGAATCAGTACTACGATAGCCGGGTAGTGGGTAAATACTGTGAAAAACGTGACCCTCATCTGGCTTGTATTGCATATGAACGAGGAGAGTGTGATCGCGAGCTCATCAAAGTTTGTAACGAGAATTCCTTGTTTAAGAGTGAAGCTCGTTACTTGGTGAGACGTAAAGACCAGGAGCTGTGGGCCGAAGTTCTAAATGACACCAATCCATTTCGTCGCCAGCTTATTGACCAAGTTGTACAAACAGCCTTATCTGAAACCCAGGATCCTGAGGACATTTCTGTTACTGTAAAGGCATTCATGACTGCAGACTTACCAAATGAACTCATTGAACTGTTGGAAAAGATTGTTTTAGAAAACTCGGCATTCAGTGACCACAGGTATGTTAGACAGAGGCTTTGTACATGTTAAAAAAGTAGTTGATAAAAAAGTGAACCAGGTGTGTTTTGTATTACAATTTCTTTTACCACAAGGTGAAAAACATTTTGGTACTAAATTCACTAGTAACTAATAGGTGGCCTTAAGAATAGATATAAGCGAAACTACATCAATCTCCAATTATAAACCATATGTAAAAAAAAAACGTTTTTGGATAAATTTTTCTTTGTTACCTAACAATAGTTGATGAGAATTGAAATATTTACATCTGCAGTTTTGAGTTGATCATAGTGTGCAAGTTCTTCATCAATATTAACTGACTTGCTTTATGTTTACTTTATACCACCACAGTGAAAAGGAAACCAAAGTTTTAAATGTAATTAGGAAGCTAGTTAGTGTCAATCAAGCATAATTTGTATGAAACAAAATCTACACCAGAAGTTTTAGTTTTAAACTGAAAAGGTAGTTTAAGATTTACTAATTGTACTGAACTGACAGCCGGAATTTATAATTTACACAAGAGATAAGTGAAAGTGACCTGAGTTTTATAATTTTATGAAATATTTGTTCTTTTTGTGTTTACAGAACAGTATTATGTGTTAATGCTTATGGTTTAATAGTGTTACACATTTAAAGAGAGACCTGATTTAACTGAAGAGGTTTTTATGGTATTTTGTCTTTTACTTACTTCCGTGTTATTTACATTCAATCAACTAAATTTCAGAAACCTCCAGAATCTTCTGATCCTCACAGCAATCAAAGCCGATCGAACTCGTGTCATGGAGTACATCAATCGGCTTGATAATTACGATGCTCCTGACATTGCAAATATTGCCATCGGAAGTGAACTGTTTGAAGAAGCTTTCGCCATATTCAAGAAATTTGACGTGAACACTTCTGCCATACAGGTACAGACACTTTAAGTATTACTTTTGTATTCATTACTGGAAGAGAAATCAACAAATTAAAGAGTTTAATCATGAAAATTTCTCAGTTTTTAAGCTTTGATAATGATTAAACCATGTTTACTTAAAAATAATAGTGCTACAATTTAAGTAGATCTTGCATTAAAATAAATAAAATATAGAGATATAAGCTGAGATTTATTTAAAGTTTACGTATCTGAAAACTTACTCATAATTATCATGTTAACACTGTACGAGAACATTGTTATAAATAAATGTATTTTTGAGAAACTGTTTTCATGTGTCATATTCCAGGTACTTATTGAGCACATCCAAAACCTCGACAGAGCCTATGAATTTGCCGAACGATGTAACGAGCCTGCAGTTTGGAGTCAATTAGCTAAAGCACAGTTAGATCAGGGACTTGTGAAGGAGGCCATCGATTCTTTCATCAAAGCTGGAGATCCTTCTTCCTACATGGATGTTGTCCAGACTGCTCACAAAACAGGTATATCACTTTCTCCAAATCTTTAATAAACTGTTCTTGTATTAAAGAATCTTATTACTTAAATCCATTAGAATATTAAGCAACTCTAATCAAGTGGTATATCCTCCGTGTGAACAGAATATAGTGTAATCCATGTAGAATATGATACGTTTGTGTTTAACCCTTTATATAAAGTCCTGTTGGGACTTTTCAACTAGCAAAATCATTTAAGAATGAAATTCAGTGACCATTAATATCATTGGTCAGGGTTTGCACAGATCTTTAAAATCGTGAAAAGTCATGGAAAATGAGCCCTTGAAAGTTTCAGTACTAGGAACCTTGCAGAAACGTGTAAGTCACGGACATGTAAAAGTGCTGAAGTTTCAGTTTCAATAAAAAAATTGTCCGTGAAACAATTGGTTTAGTGTAAAGAAATTAAACATAACAGTTTGGTTAATAGAATCAGGTTTGTATGTATATGTTTCATGTTAGCCATTATGAATCTCGTGACTTGCAAGATGTAAGACTGTTGCAGTTTCCACTGCGGGAACATTTCATTACCGGGAAAACGAAAGTTTAATCGTGCGTAGCGGGATCCAAGAGTTGAGGAACTTTCTTTTGTAAATTCTGTGTAAAAATCCATGTTAACTATGAAAGAACTATATTTAAGTAAGTAAGTATTTACTGAAATAACCATGATGTTAGAAAAACATGTAGGTTCAAGAAGTCTTGATATAAATGAATAAAAACCCTATAACTGAAATAACCAGATAGTTCTTCAATTTTACACAAACTTGTAAGGTGGTAAGTACTGTTTTGTCTTTTTCGTTAACATACATCTGTCAAGATAGTTTGTTTGTTTTGAATTTCGCGCAAAGCTACACGAGGGCTATCTGCGCTTTCAAGATAATAAAAAATACTCCCTAGAAACTGATAGAAATTTAAAGATAATTGCATAAGATTTAAAATTACACCTGACATGCACGCACCATAACTTTTCCAGTTACCTCCGTTGTAATCAGAAGAAATACAAATATACAAATAATAAATGTGTTGTTATTTAGACTTTGTCTCTAGTGAGTAACATTAAGATTTAAAGTTTTCATTCTTTGCAATAAATAATTAAAAATAATGTTTTAAAATTGAAACAAAAAATATATATATTTTTTTTCAAAGAAGCTATGGTTTGGAAAAAAAAATTTTTTTTAATTTTTTTTTAGAACGTTATAACGTAATGTTTAGTTTTCTTGGAAACATCTCTTAAAACTGTTTTAATCAATATTTCTCTACCTTTTATTAGTTTTCATAAATTTTATAAACTTTTTTCTCTTTTTTTTTTTAGAAAACTGGGAAGACTTGGTTAGATTTCTTCAGATGGCTAGGAAGAAAGCAAGGGAGTCGTACGTAGAGTCAGAATTGATCTATGCCTATGCCAAAACAAACCGTCTTTCAGACTTAGAAGAATTTATTTCGGGGCCAAACCATGCCGATATCCAGAAGGTAGTTTTAGTTTATGCCATATTCAACATAGTGTTTAACAAAATCAGCTTGTTTGTTTTTGTTTATATTTGAATGGGAGATCTTCTACATATGATATAGAAAAGTTAGTGACCAAAGTGTAATTCAATATCATTTTTTGCTGTTTCTAATGAACAATTTTAATCAGTTGTCCAATACAGCTAAGAACGTAATATAGCTAAATATACAGTGGTATAGCTGTGTCATTTCACTAAACTCGTGTCCTTAGTCCAGTTGATGATGCTCTAATTAATGTTTCTCTAACAGATCAACCCTTTATTGGAGACGGAATGTTAAATATGGTTCTAGATTTACTACAGGTATCTACGTGAAATGTGGCAAGCTTTTTAGTCTGCTGTACATAAAAAAAATCAGATCATTACAAATGTGTTCATACTCAAGATATTCCTTTATTTTAATTCGTTTTCTATGCTCTTAGAAGTAACTTATGAACTTCAAACATGAGGCTTTAGAGTGGAGTGTTTATCTAATGTAGTTGATTTAAAATGTATGTTATAACAGCTGAGTGTTTTGGCTTCAGATTGGAGATCGGTGTTTTGATGATGGCCTCTACGAACCTGCCAAGCTGCTGTACAATAATGTGTCCAACTTTGCTAGACTAGCCATTACGTTGGTTCACTTAAAAGAATTCCAGGGTGCCGTAGACAGTGCTCGCAAAGCAAATTCTACACGTACTTGGAAAGAGGTAACACTGAGAGCTGGTATCAAACCTTATTAGCTGACTTAAGGATAAACTCGTACAATAAAATTAGGAAAAGTACATGACTACTTGAAGTGTTTTTCATTATTTTATAAGCACTTGTTTATTTCTCCAGTCTATTATATTTTCACCAAACGATGTAGGAATGATACTTTAATAGATAAATGAAATTCCAAATACCTTTTCATGGGTAGTTATTTTATTTATTTTTCAGACTTTTTTTCTAAGCATTTGACTGTTTTGTATAATCAAGTGTACTTCAAAGGTCAGTGGTCAGCACCTCAGAGTTCATATTTCTATGTTGTTTCATTTCTAACCTTGCATAACTTGTAGACCATGCATTCCAGTTAACAATGAAGTTTTTTTTGGTCTGTAATTCAAAATCATTTTAGCATTAAATTTAAGATAATTCCAATATTACAGAAAATTCGCATTGTTTGTAAAAATCGCTTCTTGTTTGTTAATTTCAGTTAGGGGATGTTATGTACATTTGTAGTTTTTGTTCTAAGAACTTAACCCACACTCTAATGTTGAAAGTTTTTTTTTTGTACACTTGTTAAACTGTATATTTTACTTTACAACTGTTATAAATGACTTTTTAAGTTTTCTTATTAGTGTAACAATTGCTTATAAGTTTCCCTGAATGGGAAGATAACGTTTGAAATGACTTTAGAATTACACAAGAAACTTTAAACCACATTTATTATCTCGAAGATTGGCAATATTTTAACTTGTACTGCTGGTGAAATTTTTTTCATGGCAGTTAATCATTTTCAAATGTGGTTTAATTTTATGACAAGTCAAAAATAATTTATATATGTAATACAGCTAAGTTGATGGTTAATTTTTTGTGTCCTAGGTGTGTTTTGCATGTGTGAATAACGAAGAGTTCCGGCTAGCTCAGATGTGTGGGCTTCACATAGTGGTCCACGCTGATGAACTGGAAGATCTCATCAACTACTATCAAGACAGAGGTTACTTTGAAGAATTGATCAGTCTTCTAGAGGCTGCCTTAGGTTTGTGACGCCATTATGAGCTTATTACTGCAGCATTTTAGAGGTTTAAACCCATTTCATTGTGAAATATCCGATTTCATAACTATGGTCATTGTACATAACTTTTGTAGAATATAAAAAATATGGCAAGTAATTTCTACAAAATTAACTTTAATTTTTCAAAGATACATCACCTTTTTCTGAACCTAACTTTCTTGATATCTATTACTGATGCTATTTCATTATAAGGAAGGGAAGGACACTAAAATTCTGTATTTTTGCTATGTCACAGTTGTGTGTATTAGTGCCTGATTATCTTCACATAATTCTGTAAATCCCACAATTTTAAGGGAGATGTTGTTGTTTTTTTTTATTAATCTAACAACTTTCCCCTACAGTTGAATAAACTTGGAACAAAGCTTGAGATGATTATAAATGCAAGCATAAGAACAGGTGATAACGGTTGTTTTTGGTTTGATTGAAAATCATTTTTGGAGTATAATATTATAAAGTAGGTGTGGTGTACAAACTAATCCTTAAAGTTCCAGTTTTAAAATAAAGCTGCAAACCCAGTGCTCAAATGCATACATAAATACATAATTATCTTATTTAGATTATTTGTGTGTTATAGAATGAGGATTTAATGGATTTTATAATAATTTTCATCCACATTTTATGTGCGATGCTTAAATGTGATCTTGGTGTTCTAATTTTGGCAGTATTCTTTATAAAAAAACTAATGCGTTCTTGTAAATATCACACTTGTTTTGTGCAACCTGCTTCGGAGGTACATTTTGTCAGTAGTGTATTGGACTAGATGTATACTGTTTCAAGTGTTTTACTTATATGCTTTGTTTGAAATACAAGATTTTCTTGGCTACAGGTCTAGAGAGGGCTCACATGGGAATGTTCACAGAATTGGCCATTCTGTACTCAAAGTTCAAACCTTCTAAGATGAGAGAACACTTGGAACTTTTCTGGTCTCGAGTAAACATTCCAAAGGTAAGTTTTTATTTTCTCATAAAAAAAAACTGTTCGGTTTTCTTCCAGTATAGAAGACTTGGAACAAAAAACATCAGTGTTTCAGGTGACATTGTACATTAAAGATAGCCCTGACAACAACCCCTTTTTGGGTTTCTTTTAACTTGCTTATGTGACCTGATACCATAAAGCTTCTTTTTTTTTATTTATATCATATGAATTATTTCACATGGCATTTCTTGTTGTTTAAATTCAAGTAACGGTAATTTTTAGCCTTTTAACAGGGTCAGAGAGCATACATTTGGAAATCACACATTCTTTAAAGATAAGAAATTAATTTAATCTTCATGAATAAGTTTTTTTTAAAACTATGATTCGTGAAGTGTTCACTGAGTCGGTCCGAGTGAAAGGTGATTTTCATGTTAAAAATAAAAATACTTCATTTAATTTTAAAGTTCTAATATTTCATTTTCACGATCTCTACAAACTGTTACATGAATAACAAAGTTTTTTTGTTTTTTTTCAGTAAAACTTTATATTTTTTTCTCTATCCTAACACTGACTGTAGCAAAATAATCGAGGTAAAGTGAAAAGTTAAAAAATTTGAAATAGAATTAACAATACCTCTTTCTTTGAAAGTATAATTATCTTGAGAGTTTCACATTACTTATCTTCACAGTGTCATGTTTTCTTTTAATTTTCCTACTGAACTTTATACTGGAGAAACAGCTTATCTCACCATGAAAAGCAATATATTGTAGCAGGAGGCCCATTAGCTGTTTGATCTCTGCATTTGTAGTCATAACTTTGTTGGTTGTTGAAAAATATAAATTCATGTAGCTTTAAATTATGCATTTTTAGAACACACAGAATATATTAGTCAATAGCATAGAATGTCCCAATACTAATATAATGTAACTGGCTTTCTAAGTGAACTATAAATAGGTTTAAAAAATTCCTTTAGCTGCTAAGAGTTAAGTGAATTGAAAGCTAACTATTCAAAAAGAAAACTGTAATATGCCTTATGTAGAGTATAGTCTACTCTTTCAGTCAGCCGTATAAGGATGAAATAATTGTGTTGAAAGATGGGAGGGGGTTCTCTGGTGAGTTTGACAAATTTCTTGCTATCTCAGCAAATCGAGAAGATAGGAGGTTCAAGTTTTATATTCTTACTTATAATTATGTATAGTATGTTTCTAATTTGTTTGAGACTCTGAACAAATGTGGGTCAGGTAATACATGTATAATCATTGATAGTGAAGAACAGTAGTGAGTAATTACAACAGTTGTGATACTTTGTTAATAAGTCACTTCTAGGAAGTGTCATATATAATCAATGACAGTGAAGAACAGTAGTAACTATAACAGTTGTGATACTTTGTTAATAAGTCACTTCTAG